TCCTGGCATTGTCCAAGCTATGGTAAAAGACTTCTGTTTATCACAGAAAAGCCCTGAACAACTGAACTACTGTGTCATTTAAGGCATGCTTTTGCACTCCTTCTGAAAGCACTTCCCCTGCATCTGCCGTGAGGCTGATGGACAATTGCTCTGGGGAAAGGCTGCCACAGGAAAAACTCACTCCAGAGCAACTAGAAATGCCACGCTGCATCTACCATCTGACTTCAAGAAGTGCTGGTACTCATGGCTGCAATTCAAACCAAGAGGAAAGATAAATCCCCAGCACCCTCAAAAAAATGTGCTCCAGTTCTTTTAAGAAGCAATGGTCAATGCAAAGCAGACCCCTCCCTTCCCAGTCTGCATTTCTTCTCCGTACAAATATGGGCCAAGAACAAAGTGTGGCTGGGAAAGGAGTGAAGCTATCCATTGCTCTGAAGCTCAAGATGGTGGGAAGGGTGAAGCCAGCCCATGCTATACGCTGATGACAGAGACCGTGGCTCAGCTGTCACCTTCCTTGAGTTTTTCAGGACTCAGAGAGACCAATGCCTGACAGGCACCCTGATGCACACTGGGTCATCACTGTTTAGCACTGTCAGTGCTGTTTGATCAAGAGGCTCCAAAATGTACAACCTTTCTGAGACTGTGCATGGCAAAAACCAGGCAATTTTTGCACACAACCATATATTTTAACTGCTAAATTAGTGCGACAGGAAGAAAGGTCATCTCTGGTTGTACCTCCACCGCTATGAGCGAAGTTTTCATGAGACCTGTCTTTCATTTCTTGCTGTTAGGAGTCACAGAATAGGTTGACAGACTCTGCCACAAATTATCAGCCAATTTCACACTGGAAAAATTGTTTTCATAAGGTCAAAGTGCAGCAAATACAAGCAGCATTAGGATTAAGTGAATGAACTGAAATTAATTTCATAATTTCATTTAATAAATTAAATGAACTGAAATGCAGTTCCCTCTTGCTTCCCGTGCCTGGCTGACAAAACACGAAGAAGGTCTGCTGTCAAACCAAAGCATACCTACTGGCCACCCCGCATCCCTCCCTCTGCCCATTCCCAGTCTCACTCAGTGACATACCTGCTGACCGTCAGAGTTAGTTCATCTGTGCAACCCTTGATTTTGTTCTGCGCCTCAAGGTGCGTCATGTTATCTGTGTTCACTCCATCGATGGCTATGATCTGGTCTCCTATACACAAGTTGGCTATTGCAGCTTTGCTACCTGGAGTCACCTAAGAGGAAACAGAAAGAGCAGTTGGAGGACTCAGGGCTTCTCTCACTGGTACCTGGAAGCAAAGAGGTGAAAACTAATGAATGTAAATGCTCAGTAGAAATCTATCTGGGTCTGGGTCTCTTAGATACTCTTCAGTATTAGTTAGGGGCAGGATTCTGTTTTGGTACCCACAGATAGAAATTTAGAGAGGGGACAACAGGTAAATAACAAAAATTGTAGTTTCACTTAAGGCAATTGGGTTCATGCTAGAGCGCAAGAACATACAGAAAGCAACCCTGTTCTTTGCTGGACAGAGAAGTGCTCTCCAAAACAGAAGGTGCTGAGGACAGCCAGGAAGTCCGAGCCTGTAAGAATGGAGGTGACAGGAAAGAGTATCAGAGTCACTGCAATACAGTCAACGCCAATCACAAACACCTGCGTGGCAGGGTTTGTGCAGCCACACAAACACCTGCATCATGATCTCGTTTGCTTCCTTCCTTGGAAGAAAGGTTTGGGCTCAAGATTTTGGATTGCTTCTTTAGTTGTAATAAACTGGTTTTGCCCAGGAACAGCTGTAACAGATGCTCACTGACTTCAGCGAGATCAATCCCAAAGCAGTGCTTGATCTAATAAGCAGACTGGAAGGGCGAAACACATCAGAAACTTCATCTTCAAACCACAATCTGATGATATTTTCTGAAAAAGTAGAAGCATCATCTCCAGCCTGCCAGCCTGACCACAGCTCACCTTGATACATTCTGCCATATTACATCTCCTTTTCCTCTCCACGCGTGGTGCTTTGCTTCCCAGATATACCACTGCACTGCTAAAGAGGTGCTGTGCTCTGCCTGAGAAATGACTGATGGGAAGGAGCTCAGGGTAATCTTGCTGAGATCCCAGACAGAAGACTCCAGGCAGCAATGCCATCAGTATGATACTCCTCATGAAAAAGAAGGTCCCAGCTAAAACTTGGCATTTTCAAGCAAATCAACTAAATGGCTCATTCATTCTTCCCTACTTCTGCTAAAGAGGTGTCCTCTTAACAACTGAGACCTATTCAGGCCAAAATTATTGCCTAGGTGGAGGATGAAGAACGTCACATTTGTTTGTGACTTTGTAAATACTAGGTAAGACTTTGCACAGTTTAAACGACTTTGTGGAAGGAGCACAACGATTATTGTGGGCTTTCATCAATTATTTAATAGGCAGAGGAAATGAGAAGAGTGGACTGCTCTCAGACATGACTGCAGATTAAAACATGCCTCGCAGCAGAGACATACCTCATTTATGAGTCTGTTGTAACTGGTATTCATTCTATGCATTCATGCTAGGTTTCAGCATGCTGGAAAGCAGCTGAGCAAACTAGCAGAGCTGTCAGGCATAAACAAACATTGTTCACAAGATTTAGAGAGTCCTCCTAATGTGGGATTGGATGGCAAATCATTCCCCCTAGGGAAACATTCACCTCCTAGAGGTGTCACACATTTGCTGCAATCACTGCTTTTCCTGGGCCAAAAATGAGGCTGTTCAGCGCATCTCACAGCTGTAGTGTGCTATTTTCCCTAACCAGAAGGAAGATCACAAGATGCTTTTCTTTTTTCACCTCTCTACTAGGACAGTATATCATGGACAATGGAACATCACAGATGTCCAAGGCTGGCCAAGGTGCTCAACATTAACCCCAAAACCTTCAGATGGGTCAACCAAATAGCGTCTGTCTACCTGCTCACCACCTTTAATGCTGCAAGTAGACTACAAACTGACAGAGGAAGTGCTAAGGAAAAGACCTGACATTTTCTATATCCACCAGATGGATATAGAAAATCTGCTTTAAATGTGAAGATCATTGCCTCCCAAGCTGCAGCCTGCAGCTGACTGGTGGCCTACTAAGACCACCAAGTGCAGCCTGCTGCTGCTCCACTGAATCCATTGCCTTGAGAGTACCTTCATGTAAACCTTGCGACAGGGACAGTTATCAGGCATGAAGAAATCTTGAGCAGTGAAAGTAACTCATAGTCTCACCACATTTGGGAGCTGTCATTTTAGAAACCATGAGACAAATCCCTAAAGACATCATTACACCTGAGGGAGCCTGCAGGAAACACATTGTGGGCCCTCCCCTGGCCTCGGTGGGCCTTAACCGAGTCACTCGGTTTCAAAGTGCCTTTATTTCCTCTGCTACTGAAGGAAGGAGAGGGGCACATTACTCACCCCTGTGAGGAGCACTGAGCTCAGCACACTACTACCATGATTCATTTTGGATCACACAAGACTGCCAAGGGGTCAAGAATAACGGTGGATTAACACCGCCGCTGGAACACTGCCAGAAGCTTGGCCGTACAGCTTGCATTTAAAGACTGATAATCTACCTAATATGTGGCAGGCTGCTAGAAATGATCCTGTACCACAAGGAGCAGCTGAGCCAGAGCAGCCAGAGACACTAAAATACTGAAGCCTCCTGAAGAAACCCCAAGAGCCATTGGGATGAGCAAGTAGCATTCACAGTAACATCTCAGTGCTTTGCCAGTGGTGTCATGTTCCCCTTTTGTAATCACTTCAGAGGAATTTGAAATGTGAGTACTCTTCTCCATCAGATAAGAGCCACTGGTAGCACAAGGGTGATTACATTTACTCAGGCACCATACAAACCTCTCCCCTAAGAGTAAGCCTCAATGATACACAGTAATGAAAAAGATAAATGAATTTGCCAAAAGGAAACACGCTTTAAAACCCAGTTTCTTCAGCTCTGGCAATAACTTGCCCTGAAATGCAGCCTTCCACAGGCTGCTCCCCTGAAACATCCAGGTCTAGTCCCTGCCAGGATCGCTCACTGCAAACATGTCTGCACAAGGGCATGGTACCACAGGGAACCCATCCCCCATCCTTTTAGGATGATTAATAGCTACTAATAACGTTCTCTTACCCACCTCGCACTATGGTCTGGGCTTATCTCAGTGCTGTCAACACTGCTTTTGAGATTTGCTCATCTACCAGTTAAGTCAGGAAAGCAAAAAGCATTTCTGTTATTAAGTGAGGAGCAGAGAGCTACCACTGGGAAGACCTTTTCCTGCTTTTATTTTTACCACATCCCTCCCTGGTCCACGGGAAGCAGCAGGGGCAGGTGTGTGGTTGGAGTGGTGGGCACAAAGAGGTGCTCAGAGCACTGACAGTTACCAGCCAGTTTACACAACCCAACCAAAAGGACTCCAAAAATGAACAAAAGCTTTCAGGCTCATAGGCATCCAGTAAATGTTGCACCACTTGAAACTGCTTTGCTCCTGCTGTCTTCTCAGATGACTTAGAGTTTTGCACCAGCCTCCCTCCTTTCCTCTCCCCCTCCACGGAGCGTGGAGCAGACACCTGCAGGAGACGAGGCGATGGCAGGCAGTGCCTTGCACATCTTGCACAGGCAAGTGACCCAATAATAAGCAGATACAGCTGCATTTCTGCGCGGGAGGGCGAGGAGGGCTGACAGACACTGCAAGGAACAAAACCTGCAAACACAACTTTGCACAAGTTACATCATGTGCAAAGGCATAGCCTCTTGTCTCCTTCAAAAGAGCTCCCAGACTGGCTTGGGCTTCCCCCACTGGGGTCAAGCAGCCTCTGGCAGAGGGGACATGGGCAGGAGGAGCCCCAGGAGCTGCTCCAGGTACACTATCATCGAGTGAATAAAGCTCTGCACACCTTTGTAACATCATGCCCAAGGGCTTCCTTTGGAAAGGAGCCATGCCCTACCTTGTGGTGATTGCTCCCAGGCAATTGTGCAACACTTTGCTATTAGGTCATTTCCCTGTTGAATAGACAATGCTGAGACAGGCTGAGCAGGACTGCTTCATACTGTATCCAAAATAGGTCCCAGAGCTCACCAGGTGATGCTCTGTCTGTCTGGCATCTCTGTGTAAGAAATCTGGGCTACTAGAAATAATCTAGACACTTAAAACCAAACATATTAAACTAGGTCCCTGATACCAGCTCAGACACATTTGCGAGCATATGGAAGAAACAAATAATCCCCATAATCTGTGGGCTTGGTCGTGCACTCTCTACTCATACAAAGCTCAGTGTAGTAAATAATGGTTTAGACTAGTTATAGGCTTGGACCCCTCTTTTTAAAGAGGTCCCACAGATTCAGGGTTGGTATACATAGAAGAAAAACTTCTTACGCTACAAAGTGAAGCTTTGTGTACATACGCACGCGTGCACATACAGATACATATAAAGCTCGGCAATCACGAAGAGGGTAGAAGAATTATCTGCCCCCCTCACCTTCCCTGCACACACACTTGGGCTCCACCTTGCCAACACCACTGAGACTTCGCAGAGTTCAGATTTCTGCCTCACAGGTGGTTTGCCTGCTATCACCCCCTTGCACTGGCAAACAAAGGACTCAGCTATGACATGTCAAGCCTTCAGCTAGTCTTTGGGCAAATGCGCTTACAATAGAAAACACTTTGATTTAGCAAAGGGAATGAGACATATTTGGCTGCTTACCCAGTTCCCAGTCCCTTCCATCTGTCCAAGAGCTAGCCAAACACAACTATGTTTCACACTTGATGCAATTACCTCCATACATGCTACCTAACGAGCTTTCCAGTCCCTGGACAGGGATATATAGTGCCTTTTTTCCTTCTGCAGCCACGGATCCGAGAGGCAGCAGCAGGTATATTAAGGGAAACTGCTACCCACGGTAAATGAGAGGGAGGAAGGGTGGGAAGCATTTCTCTGAAAACCAGCTTAACACAGCTCTGAGTGCATCAAGACAGATGGGTGGGTCTAAAATTCATTCAGTTCTTTCTGGCCTTCACCCCCCCATCCATTCAGGCACACTACTTGCTCACTTGACCAGCCCTTCACGGTTTCTCACAGACCCTACAGCCTTCGGCACCACCCATCACTCCACACCTAGAAACACATCACAAGAAGCGATGAGGAGATAAGAAACGAGAAAATTAACATCAGCCAAGAAAAAGATCTGGATAAACAGCACCTATCTGAGCTTGAGAGGAAAAC